GAATTAAGGAAGACGAAGTCATGAAGAGGATTAAAGGAACACCCGATTTTAATTTTTAGGTTTGTGATTTGTGAATTTAGAATCAAAATTCAGAAAGGAAATGAGTGAAATGACGTTGTTTCGCTCTTGAATTAATTTTTTTTAATAATTTGGTTATTCGATTAATCATTTTTTTAAAAAAAACCCAAAACCGAAACCAAAAATCGGTTATCTATTGGTTCAATTTTTTTAAAAGCTGCACCAAAATTGATATTTCGGTACGGTTCGATTTGATTTTTTAGTTTTCATCGAATAGTGAACATCCCTAATTAGAACATAGGCTATAGAGTCTCGGATAACTACAAAGCATAGGTTCTATTCTAATCTATGTTTTTACCTTGAATCACATGGATTAATATGTTAATATGCGTTTTAGTCTCTATATTTATAGTCTTCAATTACATGCAAGAAGTAGGATTTTATCTCATGAAAATCCCTCATATGGCTTGCTTAAATTGACATATAATCGTGTCAATTTTCCCTTCAATGATATAAATTACTTCGCACATGTGGCATTTCTTTCTTCTTTGAATAATTTTATGGTGACATACGGGTGTGTCACTTTTCCCTTTAAATAATATAAATTGCTTTTGCACATGTGGCATTCCTTTACCAATCTTTAATCCATTTCTTAAACAATCAACCTTCAATCAATTAACTCTTAATTCGATTAAATAATCAATTCTATTATAATTCATCCAATAATTATTCTACTTACTTCTAATTATAGACTTCCTTCCTCGTTTTCGTTAAAATTCTTTCCAATTAAAACCTAAATTCGAATTTATCACTATTCCCTTCAACCTCTTAATCTCTTAAATTCATTTGATTACACTTCAAATTAACTTCTTATTTCACTTACCTAAGATAATTAAACATTATTCAACTCATTATAATCACTTAGGATCACTTTTTCTTAAAATAGGTCTCAAAGCTCGAACCTTATCCTAATCAATTCTCCAAGTAATTCATAATCCAATGCAATTGTATTTTAATATCATCATTAGTTACCCATAAACTTTACAATTAAAAGATCAATAAATCAAAGATCTTACCTTTACACTATGCTCTTCAAATCCTAAATTCTTTCTAGTTTTCCAAGCTTCTCAAGCTCCAAGTTGGCTAAACTTCGGTTAGTCAACTAGTTTAAGGTTTCTCTAAGATAATTTAATAAGAGTTTATCTTAGAAATTGAAGAGATAAATGAGAGGAAATTTTTAGAAAGAAAATGCATGAAAGAGGGAGAAAGAAGAAGAAAAAGTGGAGGGGTAGCAATTGTCCTCTCCTTTTATACCCGACTTATTTTTATTAGATGTTTAAAAAAATTATTAATTAAATGATTTTATGTTATCTTGGAAATGCGAAACAAAGTAATGACGTCCGATCAAGAATGGTATATCAATAACAAGAGAATATCAAATTTATAAATTTTTATTTGTTTTAATTCATAATAATTTATCATGTATTTTTTTGTCAAATTGTTATTCATTTGTTAGGTCGATTCGGATATTATTCTTGAGTTATGCCTCATAGATTGGGCGGATCCGGTCATAGTGTCAATAGTCATGGCTTTGATGTTGACCGTGTGATTGCTATTAGTGAAGGATCATGCATCCCATGGAGGTACAAAATAAACAAAAAAATTTCCTCCATCTAGGATTCTCAAGTTCATGTCATTGAATTAACTAATTATACATAATAAACATAAATAATATAATATTATAGGATTACCTCCTATAGAGTAGAAATAATCTATACGACAAGATGTTATTTAAGTGTCCGACCTTTATTGATTATTCATGCAGCTCAAACACCCATGCAAGAAGCAATCGAGACTCGTTGAGTGGTAGTTTCCCTTTTTTCTAATTAGTTTATTTTTTCTTTAGAAATCAATTTAGGGATTTTATGCAATAACTTTTGAAGAGAGAGGTGATGGGTTTGGGAGAGAGAAAACTTTTTTCTCTTTTCTTTTATGCGTTAGTTGTCTTGCATTCACTTTTTCCATTCCTCTCTTCTTTGTTTATAGGGAGACAACTTCTCCTTGTAGGCTAAGGATATGTTACCTATGTGGGCTTTGTCTAACCTTATCTTTATAAATCATAAGCCTTATCCATTACGACTCAAGTTTATTCCTCTACCGGAATATCTTATAGGTTTTTAAATTACACATATTGGTTCAAACTCTTTTGGACTAATTAATTATCAATTAACTTGGACCATCCAAATAAATTGGGTCAAATATTTTAGTGTGGCCTATATCAAAAAATAATGTTTCAAATTACCCATATACCTAAATTAGGAAACTAATTTCTTTTTAGGTAACTATCTTTCAAATTGGAATACTGATTTCCGAAATAGGAAATCGAATATCCATTTTAGAAAACTAACTTTCCAAAATAAAAAACTTTTTTCAATAACTTTTACTTCTCTTTTATCGCGTGAATGTTTAAACTTATGCATGTAACTCAATAGACTCCTAGATATGTTGACAATGTATCAAGAAGATAAAAGATATATCTTTTATCTCTTGATACATAAATCAAGATTGGCCTCTAGCAAGACATCATGACTATCCAATTATGTAGAATGATTAATTAATCCGAAATTACCTTTCATGAGAATGGTTTACGTACAATTCATTCCTTATGTCAATTTCTCATAGTATGATCTCAAACTTGATTTATAATTTGTTCGAGTTGATTTATAATTTGTTCGATTATGATCACATAATTTTTCTTCGATCTTCAAATATTTTGGGTCACAAGTAAACCAATTATGTTCTATTAGTATACTTCTACTGTAGCCACAGATTCCTTGAGTAGACTTTCATTGAAGTGCAATTCGATAATTCTTTAACATATAAGAAATGACATGTCCCGTCTCAATCATCCACATATCTCCGTTAGATTCTTAATGCAGCCAACGAATCTTCAACATGCGACTTTTTACTAAGCTCATCAAAACGAATGTCAAAATACACCAATCCTCTAACGAGATAACCGTGATGACTTCAATTGAAAGGACCAATTGTACCCATATTGTATGATATTCTCATAGATTAAACCAAATGGGTTCTCATGGTAAGCCATGTTCGAGTGATGTATGTTCTTTAATATTATTCATTTAAGTGTTTGCTTTGGCATCACCATGCTCGTAAGTGTGAAATCTCCTACTACTATCTAATAGTAAGAGTATAGTGCTCACAAGTTTATCGCATATTGTTATTATTCATTTTTTACAATGCTACGATTTTAAATATTTAATGATATCATTTAAATGCATCAATATTTATCTCACATCAATTGATCAATTATTAATGTGATGCATATCATATGGATTTCTATTTAATTCTATCAAATTATAAATAACAAGAATTAATAGAAAGATTTATTTTATTAATATATAAATACAATGATATAATAAATCAAACCATCCAAACGAAGTTAGATCTTAGGTATCTACACTAATAATTTTTTACTTGCACTAAATCCAATTAACCATGTCCATTATGATTATCAAATAGGCTAAACTAAACTATCTTGATCGAAAAAAAATTATGCTTTTACGTGACAACAATGTAGGAACCTCTATAGACAATTAATAGAGTGTAATAAAGCTACAAATCATCACATTAATTGATAATATAAAACAATTATATATATATATATACTCCATATAATATAAAGCAATTTAAAAATGCATCAAACGATGGTCCTTGTCTTCACGGATAATTATGATTAATGTTCGTGATGTACTAAGGGGTAGATGGGTCATTTCTCACTTGTATTGGAAGGAAATGCAATGATGTTTTGATAATCCATTCACATCACACTTGCCTCAACTATTGAAAACTAAAGAGAATAAAAAAAGAAAAAAAAAGTGTTATAAAATAAATAGAAATAATAGGAGAATTGAAGGAAAGGATGACGAGAAAATGAAAGTACTATAATATGAATACAAGTGATAAGAACTTTAAAGTTTTTCTTTCTCTCTCTAGAAAACTTATACACCAACTAATGAACAATCAAGCCTATTTATAGGCTTCAAAATTGAGGAGAGAATTGAAAGGAACTATAAATAATCAATTGTATCACCCTTTCAATTTCTCATATTGAATGATGAATTAAATTATATAGATTGAGAATTATGGGCAATGGGGATATGAAAAGTAGATGAACATCATGATGGACATTCATTATTTTCTAATAAAAAATAATTTCCTATAAAACTATGATTGATCCATCATTAATTATTTTATTTTATAATTGTAGCATAGCAATTATATTATTATCTTATTTATTCTTTTATAAAATTATTATACTATGTATATAATTGGTGCGCGTATTTACTTAATTTAAGAAATGTGCATTTATGGGCAGATTGAGGAATCTGATTCATTTGAGATTCTATTTCCAAAATAAAATGGCCATATACGTTTTAGATAAAAGAAAAATCCCTCATTTGGTGTATTAATGAATGGATTGAAGAATTGCGTGTGAAAGATAATGTATCTGCTATAGAGAAATTAGACGTAATAATATCATTTGGTGAAACGTAATGTTTTTGGTTTTCCCAAACAAAGGTAGGAAGGAATTGGAAATGCAATTGTATGTGTTCAGAGTCAGATTCTCTGGGTCTGGGCCTTGCCCGTGCAATCGCTGTCTGTTGTGTGTGCATGCATGCATTCAATTTCTAGAATAGGAAGAATGGACAGCTGATTACGTTGAATTCTAATTCCAATTATTCCAATTCATAAATACTACTTATTGTAGCAGTAGTAGGTAGCTAGCACATTTGTTAGGATAGCAGCTGGCGTACAAAATATAGGAAGGAGTAATTACTTGAAATTGGGACGCACACTAGCAGGAAAGGAAAGGGCAACGTCTGTCTGTCTGCATCTGTCATTAATTTATATTTCCAATACGTTTTTGAAATTCTTATAGCTATAGATCCGGAAAATCAATGGCAACGCAGAGAAACAACTACAGAGATCATCAAGAAAAATCGCAAGAATACGACGATAAAATATTGTATGCCGCAGAAAATGAAGAGGAGGAGAAGAAAGACACGGATGAAGTCAAAGAAGACCAAATAGAAATAGAATCCGTAGAGAAGATCTTTGAAGGTGTAGAGGTTCCATCATGGCAGAATCAACTGACTATGAGAGCCTTTGTGGCGAGTCTTATACTGGCGGTGTTATTCACCTTTATAGTGACGAAGTTGAATCTCACAACTGGTATTATTCCATCCCTCAATGTCTCTGCGGGCCTTTTGGGTTTTTTCTTCGTGAAGACTTGGACTAAGTTTCTTGAGAAGTCTGGTCTCCTAAAACAACCTTTTACCAGGCAAGAGAACACCGTTATTCAGACCTGCGTTGTTGCCTCCTCCGGCATTGCTTTTAGTGGTACATAAGTAAATACTACTACTTATATATATATATATATAGTCTTTGGTTTTATCCTTTGATTTTTCTAAATTAAAAATAAAAAAAATAAAATGAATAAAACCATAAATAAATAAACTAGTAATATTTGTAGATGATTATTCACATTTTGTTTTTGCCTTTGTTTTTGGGAATCATGCACTGTTCTTTTTATTTTATATATGATTTCTTGCTAATCAATATTGGAATATCCTGTTTATTATTTGTATGGATTATATATATAAGGGAGGGAGATTTCGAGATCGATATGCATATCTTTTGAATTATTTCTAGCATGCAAGTACGAATTCGATACTAATTGTGTAGTGTAGGCCAAAATTCAGCTATATGGCCTACGAATGCACATTATGCAGCTGGAACAGATTGATTGATTGATGATTTTATTCAAAACATTACGCTTTTTTTTAAAGTTGATATAATTTTATCATAGTAACTGACAATAATAATTTGGAATTAATTAATTTATAGGTGGCTTTAGTAGTTATCTATTTGCAATGAGCGAAACCGTGGCCAAACAATCATCACAAGCCAATACTCCAGCCGATATAAAAAATCCATCGCTGGCGTGGATGATTGGTTTTATTTTTGTAGTTAGCTTTCTTGGCCTTTTTTCGGTCGTGCCTCTTCGAAAGGTATGTACTATGTTCTTACCCATATCTTCTGCTGTATTTTTAGATCAAATCACATCGAACTATTTACCGGGTCCTTTATTTTTTACTTCGTTTATATTTAAACTTGTTACATATATATGTAATTTGTTTTTCCAGATAATGATCATAGATTTCAAATTGATTTATCCAAGTGGGACTGCAACTGCCCACCTTATCAACAGCTTTCACACCCCTCAGGGTGCCAAGTTAGCAAAGTAAGGCTTTGAATCTACTACCCTATGTATGCCTGTGTTTGTAATAATCAAACGTAAATTAGAGAAGAAGACATGCAACCTGGTCTCATATGATATTATTCTTTTATTAATCAATTGCAGGAAACAAGTGAGAGCATTGGGCAAGTTTTTCTCCTTCAGCTTCTTATGGGGTTTCTTTCAATGGTTTTTCACAGCAGGAGATGGCTGTGGATTTTCTAATTTCCCAACATTTGGTCCCCAAGCCTTCCAATACAAGTAAATAAACTCTTAGTATTTGCTCCCATGGAAACCTACAAACTTTCCTACTTATCTATATATCTATTAATTAATGTTCTCTTGGCCACATAATAATACTCTCCTGTCAGTGAAATATATATAAGCTTTAAAATAACAAGCCCGCTGTAACCTCTCTTGTAAAGCATTCACAATTACTATAGTGTAGAGTTTTTAATATAATTTCTGTTTTTTGCATTTTTTTTCTGGTCCCAGATTTTATTTTGATTTCTCCACTACATATGTTGGTGTTGGGATGATCTGCCCATATCTAATCAATGTATCTTTGCTACTTGGTTCGATCCTATCATGGGGTATCATGTGGCCTCTCATAGAAGATAAAAAAGGCAATTGGTATCGGTCAGAGCTTAGCTCAAGTAATCTGCAGGGCCTGCAAGGTTACAAGGTTATGTTCTTTAATTTCCTACTTGGAAACTTGAAATGATAGATAATGCCAACTCACACAAGTTTTTATAATATACATAATGCTTCTTCCTTTTTTCAGGTCTTCATAGCCATAGCTATGATCCTTGGTGATGGAGTCTACAACTTCTTCAAGGTTCTTGGTCGCACTCTATACGCTTTGTCCCTCCAATTCTTCAAAAAAGATTCAGGCACCGTTCTCCCAGTCGGCAATAAGCCATCCTCTGAAGATTCTTTATCTCTATCTTATGATGATCAACGACGAATCCAATTATTTCTTAAAGACCAAATCCCAGCATGGTTTGCCATTGCTGGCTATTTGACTGTTGCAGTTATCTCCTTAATCGTTGTTCCTCTTATTTTCCGCCAGCTCAAGTGGTACTACATTGTGGTTATTTACGTAATAGCACCGGTACTAGCCTTCTGCAATGCTTATGGTTGTGGGCTAACTGACTGGTCCTTGGCATCCACGTATGGAAAGTTAGCCATCTTCACAATTGGTACATGGGCAGGGTCAGCTCATGGTGGAGTTATTGCAGGTTTAGCAGCATGTGGGGTGATGATGAACATCGTATCAACAGCATCGGATCTCATGCAGGACTTTAAGACTGGTTACTTGACATTGGCTTCGCCGAGCGCAATGTTTGTGAGCCAATTTATTGGAACTGCGATGGGTTGTGTCATTTCCCCTTGTGTTTTCTGGCTCTTCTATAAAGCTTTCGATAACTTTGGGGTTCCTGGTTCACAATATCCAGCTCCTTTCGCTCTTGTTTATCGAAATATGTCAATATTGGGAGTTGAGGGCTTCTCTGCTTTACCAAAGCACTGCCTCACACTCTGCTATGTATTCTTCTTTGGGGCAATAGTTATCAACGCAATTAGAGATTTAGTGGGAAAGAAAAAGGCTAGGTTTATCCCTCTTCCCATGGCTATGGCCATACCCTTCTACCTTGGAGGATACTTTGCTATTGATATGTGCGTTGGTAGCTTGATACTATTTGTATGGCGGAAGGTAAACAAGGCACAGGCTGATGCATTTGGATCTGCTGTTGCTTCTGGATTGATTTGTGGTGATGGGATATGGAGCTTGCCAAGTTCTGTACTTGCTTTGGCAGGTGTTCAACCACCAATTTGCATGAAGTTTCTGACTAGCAAAACAAATGCAAAGGTCGATGCTTTCTTAAGTTCTTAAGACTTCTTTCTTAATTGGTTTTGAAAGATGACATCTCGGTTTTATTTATTTTTATTTATGAATACTATGACTCGAGAATGCCATCTTTTGTCCTGCTTCAATGTTTTTATATTCTTATGATAGCTGTTCTTTAAATCTGTTGTTTTCCGCATCCATTTTAGTGTATATTTTCATGTTTTAACAAGTTCTTACTACTCAATTTTCAATTTTAGAATTGACATGTCATCTTGTAAGGGATAAAATCTAGATGGAAAAAAATAAAAACATAACAAATAATTGTCAGATTGAGAAAATGAAGAAAGTCCATGCCCTCGACAAGTATATAGCACAAAATGTTGGGTTAATGACTTAACACAATTGGGAACAAAAGATGACATCAGTAAACCTTCAAAGAAATAACATTGTATTTTGATGTGGAATTCATTGAATGCAATATCTAAATTTTGCGACGGTTTTTAACAACGGTCCACCAATCCGTTGCTAATTTTATAGGCTAACCATTTTAGCAACGGTCTAAACCGTTGCTAAACCCGTTAGTAAATGTTATTTAATATTTTTTCAACTGTTTTATAAAAAAAAAAAACCCTAAATAAAAAATATTGTTAGTGACGGTCAAAGACCGTCGCTATTCCATTACCAAAAGGAAATTTAGCGACGGTCCGTGACCGTCGCTAAACCGTCACCAAATCAACTCGGGAAACGGTTTAGCGACGGTCTTGGATCGTCACTAAACCGTTGGTAATGTGATTTTATTATTTTAACGGTTGCAAAAATAACCGTTGCAAACGTTAAATTAGCGACGATCCGTATAGTTGCTAAAAGTAACCGTTGGTGGAAAACGGTCAAATTAAATTTCGAATTTACTTTTAGCGACGATTTAGCGACGGTCCGTGACCATCGCTAAAAACTTTACCCTTCTATAAATAGCGATCGGTCGGAATCGCCATTTTTTATTTTCTTCTCATCTCTTCTTCTCCTCCCGTAGCCGACATCTCTCGCCTTTTTCGTCTCCAATCCTTTAATCTCTCTCCTCAAAGCTATTTTTTCCTTAAAATCTCCATATTTCTTCCCTCTTTTCCTCCTCCTTTCAAGTTTTCTCTCTTCCGTTGAAGTTGTCGTTTTCCGACGATCATATTCCGACAAGGCTTTTTTTTCCGATGGTTTCTCCCACTCCTCTTGGTGACGAGTCCACCTAAATTTAAACCATCCTTTCAATTATTAATTTTTTCAGTTATTTATTTATGTCAAATAATTAGATTTTATTTTAATTTATTTTAATTCCTTATTATTGCTAGTTTAATTATTGAATTGTTTGTTTATTGCATGTGTTTTTTTAATTTGATTATTTAATTAAAATTTATTTTGTGTATTATTTTAGTGTAAATTGTGAGAGTTAATTGAAATGTTTAATTGTTAATTGTTATGTTAATGTTGTTGTTAATTATTTATTAATTGAATATTATTGTTAACTTTTTAATTTTGTGTTATTTTTTTTAAATTGTTGATTAAATTAATTTGATCGTTAATTGTTAATTTACTTACTTTAATTTATTGTTAAATTTTTTGTTAGAAAATATAATTGTTATATTTTATTTTATTTTGTTATTTAAATTGTTATTGTTATTGTTATTAGTGGAGCTAATAATTGTTAATTTACTTAAGTAATTCACAATTTCTTGAAAACATTATTAATTTCAGTAATTCCTAGTTCATTAAGTTAAAGCGTTAGGTTAGTACAAAATAAATCAAAACAATTTTCTAAAATTATTTTTAAATAAATAAAAAATAAAGTTATTATAAATATTTGTAATTATAATTAGGAATTAAATAAATAATTAAGTTTGTATTTATAAACTTTTTTGAAATAAATTTTAAATAGATAAAAAATAAAGTTATTAGAAATATTTGTAATTGTTAGGAATTAAATAAATAATTAATTTGTATTAAAAAAATTTCTGAAATAAATTTTAAATAAATAATAAATAAAATTATAGGAAATATTTGTAATTGTTAGTAATTAAATAAATAATTAAGTTGTATTTAAAAAATTTTCTTAAATAAATTTTAAATAGATAAAAAATAAAATTATAGGAAATATTTGTAATTGTTAGTAATTAAATAAATAATTAAGTTGTATTTAAAAAATTTTCTTAAATAAATTTTAAATAGATAAAAAATAAAATTATAGGAAATATTTGTAATTGTTAGTAATTAAATAAATAATTAAGTTGTATTTAAAAACTTTTCTTAAATAAATTTTAAATAGATAAAAAATAAAATTATAGGAAATATTTGTAATTGTTAGTAATGAAATAAATAATTAATTTGTTTTTAAAACATTTTCTTAAATAAATTTTAAATAGATAAAAAATAAAATTATTGGAAATATTTGTAATTGTTAGTAATTAAATAAATAATTAAGTTGTATTTAAAAATTTTCTTAAATAAATTTTAAATAGATAAAAAATAAAATTATTGGAAATATTTGTAATTGTTAGTAATTAAATAAATAATTAAGTTGTATTTAAAAAATTTTCTTAAATAAATTTTAAATAGATAAAAAATAAAATTATTGGAAATATTTGTAATTGTTAGTAATTAAATAAATAATTAAGTTGTATTTAAAAAATTTTCTTAAATAAATTTTAAATAGATAAAAAATAAAATTATTGGAAATATTTGTAATTGTTAGTAATTAAATAAATAATTAAGTTGTATTTAAAAATTTTTCTTAAATAAATTTTAAATAGATTAAAAAATAAAATTATTGGAAATATTTGTAATTGTTAGTAATTAAATAAATAATTAAATTGTATTTAAAATTTTTTCTTAAATAAATTTTAAATAGATAAAAAATGAAATTATAGGAAATATTTGTAATTGTTAGTAATTAAATAAATAATTAAGTTGTATTTAATTTTTTTTCTTAAATCAATTTTAAATAGATCAAAAATAAAATTATAGGAAATATTTGTAATTGTTAGTAATTAAATAAATAATTAAGTTGTATTTAACATTTTTTTCTAAACTTAGGTTGTTTACATATTTAGAAAATAACTTATGTGTAACAAAAAAAAAAGATTTTAGATTTAGTGATAAAAGTAATTTAAGTAATTACATAAACAATTAATACGATTACTTTATAACTATTTTGTTTAAAATAAATTTGGATCGCTCTTGGATTGACTTTAGATTAACTGGTGGATTATTAAATGAGCGTTTTGTAGAAGGGGTTAATGAATTTATTAACTTTGCTATTAGTCATCCACAAGTGCATGGATAGAAATAAGATACGATGTCCATGTAAACAAAAAAAATATCAAAATCATAGTTATGAAAACCCCGATACCGTTAAGTATCATTTGCTTAGATATGAGTCTCGTGTCCGGGTATTATGTGTGGAGACGTCATGGAGAGAATGATTTAGCAATTAATGCCAATTCGTTTAATAATGTTGAACAAGAAAAAATATGTGATGATCGTCAAGTTAATCGATACCACACAATGGTGATGGATGCGAATGGTCCATCTTTTAATCCGTCTAACACGTACGAAGACCCAAACCCTTCGCACAAGCATTTTATGATTTATTAGATGCATCGAATAGAGAAATATGGATCGGGTCGGAAAACCATTCGCAGTTATCCGCAATGTCTCGTTTGTTGCATCTCAAGTCCGAGCATCATTTTTCGGAGAGGTGTTACGACGATTTATGTCAACTTATGAAAGAGTTGATGCCTCCCGATAACTCGTATGCCGAAGACTTTTATAGTACAAAAAAAATGATAAAAATGATGGGTTTGCTCATTGAAAAGATCCATTGTTGCATTAGTGGTTGCATGATTTGTCGGAGTCGGGACGACCGGAGAATCTCTTGTAAAATATGTGATCATCCTCGATATCGAAATCCTACACGGGGTTCGATTAGACAAACATTTGTCCCCTATAAAAAAATGTATTACTTTCCGATAACCCCACGATTACAAAGGATGTATGCATCAAATGCCACCGCTAATGATATGACATGACATGCGCAACATGTGTGTGAGCTCAACGTCATGCGTCATTGTTCGTACTCCTTCGCATGGCAACATTTTGACCAAACACATCCTTCTTTTGCATCGAAATTAGGAATGTTAGATTAGGTGTTTGCACCGATGGGTTTCAACCGTTTGGTAAGTCCGGACAACAATATTCTTCGTGGCTCGTCATTGTAACGCCATACAATTTGTCACCATGGAAATGTATGAAAGAAGAATATATGTTCTTAACTCGTTATTGTCCCCGGTCCTAAGAACCCTAAAATCAATTTAGACGTATACTTACAACCATTAATTAAAGAGTTGATAGAATTATGGGAAGTAAGTGCTCTTACTTATGATGTGTCCGTATAGATAATTTTCAAATGAGAGCTGCCGTCATGTGGACAATTAGTGACTTTCCCGCATATTCAATGTTATCCGGTTGGAGTACTGCGGGTAAGACAAGCATGTCCGTATTGTATGAAAAATTCCGATGCTTTCACCCTTCGAAACGAGAGGAAAACTTCATGGTTTGATTGCCATCGAAAGTTTCTATCACAACGCCATCCGTTCGGGCGAAATAGGACTCGCGTTCAAGCGAAATTCAGTTGTTACGTACATTGCTCCACCGATAAAGTCTCGGAATTGAAATTTTACAAGAATTAAATAATTGGGGGTTGCTGAAAGTAACGAAAGAGGGATCCGATGAGTATAATAATAATATATCTAAATATTGTGGTTGAAAAAAACGTAGTATATTTTGGGACCTACCTTATTCGAGTTCTAATCTAATACGTCATAATTTAGATGTCATGCACATTGAAAAAAATGTCTTCGACAATGTGTTTAATACAATTATGAATGTCCTAGGAAAAACAAAAGACAATGCAAATTCAAGAGAAGACTTAAAGCTATATTGTTGACGGCCCGAATTAGAAATAGATGAAAACTCTAGAAAATACCCAAAACCCCGTTATA